CAGGCAAAAGCAGTATAAGCTCCTCATTATTATAAATTAAAATACAGAAGAATTCTCACCCACGGTTTTATATAGGAATTGAATTCCAACTGTTTATTGTATAAGACCAAACATGGAGGTCTCTGTGTCTATCTTTAGCATCAGATAAGGGCAGTTAGCCTGCTCTTTCTTGAGTCTGGCTTTTCTCTTTTAAGGCAAATACAACAGATCCTGAATATGCCTTACGTAAAACTAGAGAGACAAAAAATAAAATCATGGCAACTGAAGGGTACAGGGGAGATAAACAGGATGACACCTGATTTTGTTGTGTTGTTACTTAAGGAATTTTATCTCTTGTATTTACCTTAGTGTTCAGTGAATCTGAGTTTGGAGGCCACAAAAAGGAGGGGTTTTTGGCTTGGTATCTGTGGGTTCTGAAATGACCCTCGTTTTCTGGCAGTAGAGAGGGAGAAAATATTTGCAAAGAACTCCCAGACCAGAGTCAGCCCAAGAAGCAGCGATGGCCAAAAAAGAAAGAAACCAGACAAAAATGCATGCCTGACTAATATAAACAATATGTTAAGAGGGAAGCAACTTCTAGTGCCCATTTTCTAGATAGAGCCAGTAGCTCTTCTTTACCTCTACTCCCTTGAACGTGGTTTTTCCTTGCAGTCCTCTTTCCCTATCAGTGACTATGAAGAAATTGCAAACAGAAGTCTCTTTGTCGGATGCCACACCATGTCTTTCATGGTGAAGCCTCACAGGGTTTTTTTCTCTAGAGTAATGCAAAATTTCTGTTGTTTAGAAAACGAGAATTTCAATGACCCCTGCAAGGAACTTAAATGTGTGTGTGAATGTGCAAGTGCTGAGTTGCCTATGCTTGCCTTGGCCTTGAGTGCCTGGCAAGCCTTAGTGGTGAGCATGAAGCACTGCAAGAGCTTTCTCTGCATTTAGGATGACAAATATCAGTGTCATATGGAAAGTTAAATTTATTTGCCCTAACAGATATATTTGGTTTGATTTCTTGCCTGTGGCATCAGTGTTACTTCACCCTGAAGAAGAAAAGGCCCTGTCACTCACTAGTGGTGTTCTTATAAGTTTAGCAGAAGTGTAATCTGCTCCCGCCCTGAAATTTGCCACCATTTAATCTGTACCATAAACACTTATTCAGTCACAACTTACAGAAATCATATTATGGCAGCTAAATCTACAGAAATTTAGATATCTTGAAGAAGAGAATGGTTTATAGGAATCTGAATCAAGTTTTTCTCTTCAATCCCTCTAAAAAATTAATTTAGACCTTAGATTCCCTTTATCTCTGTTTGGTTTTAGTCACAGGGTTAGCCAGTACTTGGAACACCCCCAGTCTAACCACTACTTCCTGCTCCAGGGAATACCATTAAATATTTGCATGGGATGAGTAAGCAGACTTATCAAAGTAATTTCCACAGAAAGTGTATAAACCACAAATCCTTAATTGTTTGTGTAGCTGTTACACTGACTTTGAGGGTGGAAAACACTCAGCACTTCCAATAGCTCCCTCTGCTTGCAGTGGGACAGGTCCCGTGGGTCTGCTCAGGATTTCACTGGAAATGCAATGTGCTGTTTAATCGTGTACAAAACTGACACTTGGGAAAACAAGAAGAATCAGTCCCATAAAACCTAGGAGCTGAACAGCTTGTCTCTTCTTTTCTTCTGCAGTTTTCTTTTCTCTTTTTTCTTTGTCCAACTCCACTTAACAAAGTATCTTTGAAGACCGTCCTACTGCCCTCTGTGGGCTTTACTGTGAAGTACCTTAAATAACCCTGGGGGCATGTGTTGGGATATGACTCCCGCAGAAACTTTTGCTTCTCTTCTCTCATGCCCATGCGCTGCAGCTGCTTATTGAAGTGATACCTTAATTTAGCAAAGCAATTGTACACTCCCCACCCCTTCATGTGCCTGCCAATGCAATAAGAAGCCTAAGAAAGGCAACTGTAATGGCTGTTTGGTCTTGCTGGTTCTGAAAGGCAGAGATATAATAAACTCGTCTCCAAATAAACATACAGAAATAGAAGAATTAGTAATAACTATGGAGGGAAGATCCTGGTACGTATGAGATCCTGCCTTAGTTTTGGTTGAGGTGCTTTGTTTCAATCAGTATTTTGTGGTACTCAGAAGCCGGCCTGAAAGGTTTTGCAGGAAATCAAGTGGATAATGAACATTACTAATAAGCTTTACAACTAGGAAGTCTGTGAAGCAGAAAGGGTGTTTTCCATTTCTTTACAATGGTCAGTTTTTAAAGAATGTAAAAATAAAAGCTGCTTTGGCTTCAGCTGTGTAGTGCCTCTTGGCAATCTGGGGAATCAGATGCAGAACAGAGAGTGCCTGGGAGTGCACTTCTGTGCCATCCCTGGCCAGGGCAGTAGCTCAGATCCAGATGAACTGGCAGAACTAAGAGAGTTTAAACTTGTTCCCATTTGCTTGATAACATTGCAAAATATTATATTTATTTATTAAACTATCTACCAAACTAGGGAGATGCATGAAGTTTTATGCCTCAGTGGTTGACTTGGACTTTAATTTGTAAACTGCAATTATGGCAATGAATTTTTGTTAGAGTCACCTCTTGAGAAATAGCCCTCAGTCTGCTCAACTTGTCTGGTTCCTAGGCAGTATGTGAATGGGCATCAGGTGGTTGTGGTTTTGGTCACAGTGTTTCTGGGCTTTGCTTAAGTGCTGCCAGCAGCCACTACACATCCTGGGAAGTAACCTTCCTGTGATCTAGAGCACTGTAAGAGCCAACCCAGCCCCTTTCCCGTGCCAGACACTCCTGTGTTTCACTTGGCTGCAGCAGAAACTTCCCTTTCCACCCAGCCATGGAGAGCCATGTGCTGAACTTTTGGAAAACGAGCCTGCTGGGCAACTGGCCCTCCTGTTAAATCTCTCGCTAACGCACTCTCAGCCTGCCAGAGCCCTCCGCATGTTCCTTCCCACCGCAGGTTTCCACGCACACCCACCGTGGCAGGCAGAGGAAGGTAGCTGGGGCTGGAGCACCCTCTGCAGGGGCCTTCCTCCCGTCTGCCTGGAAGGGACAGCCCAGCCCCAGACCCAGCCCACCGCGCTGCCACGCTGGATGGAGCTGAAAGGTCAGAGAGGTCCTGCTGTGCCCAGCCTTGGCCTCTCCGCTGGCAGGCCATGCCAAGAGCATTCTTTGGGAGAGGGAAGCAGCGTGACAGCGGAGATGCTAACCCACACGCTGCTTGTATGAGCCATCCTCTTTGCAGCACGAAGGCATTTATGGTTTTAAGGCTTCATCGTCATCCTCATTATTATTATTATTATTATTATTATTATTATTATTATTATTATTATTATTATTATTATTATTATTATTATTTCCTATGTAATAACAAAATAATTTATTGTTTTATCAGTGAAAACAACAGAGCCATGAAAACTAGTTCAAGATTTATTGTATTTTTTAATATAGTGAATCTAAGTTCCATTCCTTTCAATGTTTGCATTTTGAAACTGTGGCTTTTCCTGATGCCACGATCTATGACAAGTTACTTTTGAGAATACTCTGCTGATGCCTGGCTAAGTTATGGCCCTCAGGTATAACAGGCTCTAGCCAAGCTCTCAGGCTTATTTGAAAAGCTTTTCAAAAAGGCTATTTTATGCTGCCTTTAATCTATATTTACTACTTAACTTCTGTCATCAATGACTCTACTCATGGTTGCCCTGGTCTTTGTGTACTCCAGTATACAATCTATATAAAAGTCCTTATGTAATTAAGTATGTACTTGTAGAGCATAGAGTGCCATTCCCATGAAAAAAAGCCAGGAAAGTAAAAGCACATCTTATGGACATGTGGAAATACAAATGCTAGTTCAGCAGATCACTAAAGAAATCCAAACTACTCTCTGGTCATCACACCATATTAAGAAAGATAGCGTGATTTTTAAAACTAAAAAACTATGGTTTTAGTCTTTTTGCCTCTTTTTTTTATTGCCCCTGCCCCCAAGACAAAGTATTTAATTTAGCCAAGATCAAGTTTTCTGTTTCCTTTTCACAGACTGAGAAATGGAATCATAGAGGCTGTGAATGATTTATTAAAATCCAGAATGAAGGTATTACAGTTGGATAAAAACCCTAGTGCTGCAATGAAGTTGATCTCTTGGTCTAAGAGGAAAATTAGAAATTTAGTGTGTGCTTCACCACCTGTACGTTGGCCACAGGTGATACAGGGTATGGACACACTGTATCATTCTGGTTTCCTCATTAATTACTGGTTTATGTTTGTACTTGGTGCCTCAGGGCACCTTAGATCCTCATCCTGCCGGACTGGGGTCTGGACTGAGATTTCGGCAGCGATGTGGCACGGTGCTGCCAGCTCTGTCCTGCAGCGTGCCTCGAGGCCACCTTCATGGCTGATGCGGCAGGGAAGCTCCGTGAAGTCGAGTTCCGCAATCACAGATCCCTGCAGGGAATTCCAGCTGGTGTGGAGGAAAAGGAAGAAATCTTGCATTCACTCTCTGCACTCCTTCAGCCCAGTTAGAGATATGGTTGAGGACGGAGTGCGTACTCGATCTGACGGTGGCGTGTAAACAAAGGACCGAGCTGGTGCAATGCCTGGTCGCTCGGGACGGCCAGGCTGGAGGCACAGATCCTCCGCTGGTGTCCAGGAGCGCTGGGCAGTGCCCCCGTGCGTGTCCCCGAGCGCTGCTGTCCCCGAGGGACATGGGGGCAGGGGGGACAGCCGCTGTCAGGGGCCGCCGCCGATTCCCGCAGCTCTCGCCAGGCCAGGCCCGCCCCCGGCAAAGGCGCGGTCAGTGACCCGGGCCCGGGGGCGCGGTGGGAGCGGGGCCGGCCGCTCCACCGCCGGCATTCGGCGGCACCGCTCCCGATGTCTCCGCCCCGCCGGGGCCGGAGCCGGGGGTGTTGCGGGCGAAGCCGTGCCGGGCCGTGCCTGGCAGCGCCGGGCGGGGCGGGGCGGGGCCGCGGTGCCGAGCGCCGTGAGGGGGGGCGCGGCTATGGCGCGGCCGTGGCTCGGCACGGTCCGGCACGGGGTGATGCGGCACGGCACGGCCGGTGCTGCCTCCTCCCGGGCCGGGGCGTGCGGAGGGACGGACGGCAGGAGGCAGGAAAAGAGGCAGGGTGGGAGGGACCCCACGGCGCCGCTCGGAGCCCGGCCCGGCCCCGGGAGAGCGACAAGCGCCTGGCACGGGATAAAGTTATCCCGGAATAAGGCTGCACGCATGTGCGTCACCCCGGATGTGAACATGCCGGCCCGGCTCCCCGCTAGCTCGCTCCGCCTGGCTCCAGCGGATGGGCTGAGCCGTGCCGTGCCGAGCCGTGCCGTGCCGAGCCGTGCCCGAGGCCCTGCAGCCCGGTAGGGGCTGGGGGAGGCCGGGCCGCCCGGGCGCCCTCGAGGGCCGAGGTGCGAAAGGCCCTCCCGGCGGGCCCGGGGCAGGTGCGCAGCCGGGGGCGAGCGGCGGGCGCGACCCCGGGAGCGATGGATTTTCGTGGGAAAAAGTACGAGCGCGGCAGTAACTGGTCTGACCCCGAGGTGGTGGAGCTGCTGCAGCTCTGGGCCGACGAATCGGTGCAGATAGAGCTGGAGAGCTGCTTGCGCAACCAGCACGTCTTCAACCGCATCGCCGAGGTGCTGCGGGAGAAGGGCATCCACCGCACGGGAGACCAGTGCCGGGAGAAGATCAAGAAGATGAAGCTGGAGTACCGGCGGATCAAGGACAATAGCAAGGCCCCGCGGGGCGGGCGGACGTGGAAGTTCTACGAGGTGATGGACCGGGTGCTGACCAGCCGACCGGCCCTGGCCTATGGCTCCCTGAGCGGCAGCATGATGGCTCAGCAGGTGCTGCAGGGCAGCATGGTGGAGAGCTACCACCACCAGTTCACCTCCTCTGCCCTGCCCTTCGGACACTCCCAGCACCCTGAGCTGATGGAAATCAAATGTGAGGAGGTGAACTCTGATGACCACAGCTTGACCCCAGAGCCCCCACAAGCCATGCCTTACCAGCAGGGCTCCCCTGAAGAACAGGAGATGGAGAGAGCCTTCTTGGAGAGGGCCCAAAACGACTCTCCCATCTCCAGGGTGGAGATTCCCATTGAAACCAGTGTTTCACCTTCAGGTAGGGATAGCCTTTTACATTCCAGCATAAGGTTTCTGCCCATTTTCCCAGAAAGAGAAGATTAATTCTGGATAGACACCTGGTTTTCTCAATGACATTTGGATCCTTGCTTTTCCACATCCCAGAAAGCTTTAAAGTAGAAGGCTGATATCTGAATTTATGGTGTTTTCGCCATTCCCAAAATGCAGGTATCTCACTGCAGGTAAATATAATCTAGAATTACTGAGCTAGGTGAAATACTGTGTATGAAATCCAAAGAGCTCCATAAGTTGGGCGAATTAGATTTTGTATATAATGCTGACAGTAAAAAAACTCATTTGCATGCTCCTATGGTATCACTTGAACATAACAAGAGCTGTCTGCTGTCCTCATGCTGAATTGTATCATTACACCCTCTTCTGCCACGGTTGCACTGTAAACTGTCCTTGCTTTGTTTTAAAATAATGTTCCAGATCTTACATTTTAGCCCACTCAACACTGAAGAATACTTGGGAGTAATCATTGCCTGACTTTCTAAGCTATTTGGTGGGACTTGCACAGAAGGTGTTTGTGCAAGTCACTGGCAGAAACCGTGTTTGTTTACAGGTGATGTGTTTCCTGCACTGAAAATGCAGCTGGCATTGCTTAGCTACCAGGAAGGGTATAGTCTGGGAATCCTGGGGATTTCAAACCAGTCTAGGACAGGCTGATGGAAGACCATGAATTGTTGGAGAAGAAGAGATGATAACAAATGTGAGGTTCATGTCTGAGTTCAGGAAGAAGTTGTATGTCCTCTTGGCTGTGCTGCTTACAAAGTTAGCCTAGTGGAGAGAACTGATGATTATTCAGGTTAATGCGGAGACCATGTAAGGGGCTGGGGCCGGCATCGTCATGGTGTGCCCAATGTGTGATGTTAAAAACAAACTTCAAAACTGCTTGCAAACCTCAGGATGTATCTGATAGGTTTTACTTTGTTTATTCTATAAACTCTATGGTAGGTAAAAGGTTGTTCTTATGACAGGCAGGAGAAGGAAGCGAGGCGTGCCCATGCCACTATGCTTGCTGCACTTTTTCTTCGTTGCTTTTGTGTATTCACAGGTTTCAGTGAGCCAAACATGGCAAACTCATCACGGATCCAGAACGTTGTTCCCCGGCCTGGCTTCTCTGCCTTGCATCGGCTGAGAAAGAAGCGGAAAGGGCAGCGCATGAGGGACCCACTGGACGACCTGCTGCTGAAGACTCTGACGTCCCAGCGCGCCATGGAGGAGCGCTTCCTGCAGATGGAAGAGCGCCGCTTCCAGCGAGATCTGGACGTGGAGGAGCGCCGGATGCAGCTGGAGCAGCGCCGCTTTGAACTGGAGAGGGAACATGAGTTTCGCATGTTCAATGTCTTTGCTCAGATGCTCAGCATCCTAAAGCAGAGCCATAGCGGCTCCTCCTCCTCTGTTGCCATGCCTCAGGGTTTGGACTTCAGCCAGGCACTCTCTGAAATTGAGGGAATGGGAGGAAGAGGGAGCAACCTGCAGGAGATGAGGCTTCGGCCGCTTGCCAAGAGGAGGGTTGACCTGCACAGCCTCTGTAACCCCAGTGGCTTCCAGAGAAGCCCCTACCTCTCTGCTCGTGGCAACTTTGCCTGCGCTTTCCAGGGCTCCACTGAGGAAGGGTACAATGCCTATCATGCTGACAAGTATGATGAAGACAAGAACCCCAACGTGAGTAAGAACCTCAAAGTGTTCTCCTGGCTTCCTTGCTAGGAAAAAAAGTTTCTTAGAAGTTTGCTGGCAGATGTGCTAAAAGTGTGGGGGTTTTTTTTGATCTTAGTAATACAAGGTGAATAAAACTGCTTATTTGAGGAAAAGAAATTAAAAGTAGCTTTGTGGATCATCTAGATACCAAGGATGAAGGCTTGTGTTCAGCTCAGGTTTGCACACTCTGATTTTTTAATCAGGGTAGTAATAGCAGTAGCAGACCTTGAAAAATGTAAGCAATCTGCAGGAGGAGAGCTCATGTTGCTCCTTCCACCTCATGACCTCTATTGCCCACTGAGGACTGTCTCTGATTATCTGATTATATCTGATTATTCCACGTGATGGGTGCAGGAAGTAGAACTACTAAGTAGTAGCCTTTTTTTTTTAATTACTGTTAATAACACTCAGCACTTTCTGCCCATTTACACTCAGCTGCTTGGTTTTAAGTAGCTCATCATAGCCCTCTTGTGGCACAAAGGCTGTGTTAATAGTTCATGGCAAACTATTACTGAGTAACAAATATAGTAAATGTAAATAATTTATATGTGGATTACTTTTATTTTGATCCTTCATTCACATACTGAACTAACTTCTTGAAACATTAAAAATATTCTATTACTAGCCCTGACTTAAGTTGCGCTGTGTTGCAGTGTAGAAATACACTGGGAAGTTTTTGTTACAAGGTGTATTATGAGGTACAGGATTCTGCTTCTGCAAACTGTTGTCTGTGTAGGAGGTAGGTTTTTTAAACAAATACCTAAAACTAGACTTGTACTTTAATAACATCAGAAGTGTATAGTTGTTTCAATTTTCTTTCACATAATAAAATTTTATTTACCCAAACTCTTCTAATAATGAGAATGTACTAGTAAATTTGAACTCTTCAGGATCTAATGCCATATTATATATGGCCAAATCATAAACCTGGAACTGTAGGGTCATCTCTCCAGAGGGGAAAATTCAGTATTTTAACTACTTATCATGACTACATGTTTATATGTTTCTTGAGCAAATCAGTAGAGTGGAATAGTAATTAATGGTAAACAAATGCTTTTAAGATAAAGAAACATATCCGAAACCTTGTTTAAAACTGCTGTTGAAGTGTTAACCTTGTTTTTTTCAGAGTTGTTTTAGGGTTTCTTTTTTGAGTTACGTATTATAGTGAGTGAATTCAAGATAAGGTTAAACGTGTTCTGTAAAGAAGTATAAACTATTAGTACATGTTCATTTACAGACAGTTTATTATTATTGACTAAGAAGCCGAGTGCTTGGAATATATATGGAAATGTACACACGTAGATGCATGTCTTGAGTTTTATACGGTGAAGTTTATGAGAACTCTGTTTTGACTTTTCCTTGGTAAGCTTTTTGGAGGCAGTTTAGTGAGGTGATAGCTAAGGTGATGTACTCACATGTTTTATGTGTCTATAAACAATACTGTTTCTATTTCTAGGGTATAATAAACTTTGGCACCAGTGAGAATAAGCTCTGCTTTGACCTGTTGTCCAAGCGGGTAAGTTCTATTCCAAAATAAAGCACTGAATTTGCTGTGCAGTCCCTCTTCAAAGCTTGCACTTTCCTAGAGTTACTGCTGTTACTCAGGTTTCTCTGGTGAAGTTTTTCATTGCGGATTTTAAATTTGGTGGAAGTCACTTTTGAATACAACTACTTGTACATTTATTTATTTTATTTTTCCAGGAGAATAGGAACATGAGTGTTTTTCTCTTCCTCTTCATGATGGGTTTTCCTCTGGGGATGTACTTATTAAGGAAAACTAGATTAAAATAAAATGAATTTTATTTTCCCTTGCTCACAGTGGTTATTTAATACATATATTTCAAAATTACTTTTGAAATCTATTTAATTTTGAATATCTTTACACCTGTCCATTATAAAGTCACACAACTTGGACACCTGGTTCTGAACTCACCTGAAATGTGCAAGTGTGGCAGCAGTGAAATCTCTCAAAATCAGAGTGGGTCAGTGCTACCTGCTGGCTTTGCACCAGGCAGAGAAGTGCAACACATAGCAGAACTGAAAAAGTAGAAAAAGCTGAAAGGAAACAAGAGAACTATGCTGTAGAGGAATGCTTCTAGATTTCCATAAAATCACTGCCCATGGCAAGCAGCCTTTGAGGTGGGCAGGTAGCACTTTTCCTACCTGTGGTTGTGTGGGGGGAGGAAAGGTGCCTCAGGGTTGGACAGTTGGACAGTCTCTGCAGTTTGAAGTTCATGGTTTCTCCCATTGCACCACTTTCCAAACACCTCAAAGTGTTCCCTGTTTTATTTCTCCCTGCTACTCCACTGGCTCGGGGGATGCTGCCCCACCACTCCTCCTTCCAGCTAAAAGAACAGATAAGGCAGAGCTGCTGCCTGCACAGAAAGGTCTTCTAGGCTGTGTAGGTGGTGCCTTCCTTCCTTCCTTCACTGTCCCTTCTCCTTTAAACTAACACCATGTCTGCAGTAAGTAGTGCAGAGGGAGACAGTAGTCAGCTGCATCTTAATTAGCCCTTCTATGAAAGTGAGTTGAGACTTTGTCAGGTACAGTGTTCATGCTTGTGGCAACAAGCAGAACAAAGATGTTGTTGCCAGCTTCTCAGTCCTTGCAGCCTTGAGTAACAGTATGGATTCACTGAAGCTAATGCAGCATCAGCTGAGATTGTAGGCAATTTTTTTTTTTTGCTCTTTGGGATTAAAAATACTTATTGTTGCCACTGAATAATGTATCCAGTTTCTGTTTTCAACTTTGGACCCTTAAATTAGAGAACACTTAACACATTGCTTTTAGGGTTCTCCTCTTATTAATTCAGAGTCATTTTTGGCCAAGTCTGCTGGTATGTTTGGTGTTTCATTCTCTAGATAAGTTTAGGAGAGAGATGTAAGGAAGCACAGTTCTTGAAGCTACATAGACTCCGAGAACATCTACAGCAGAATGAAGGAACTTTTATCCTATACTATCAGGTTGTAATTCTGCATGGGATAAGGACATTGTCTTTAATCTCCAGAGCTTGGCACCAGTTATTAAAATACCTCTAGAAAATGTTATGGTTTTGTTATCAAGTGTGAAACTTTCACACTGCATGTGGAATTTCCCTCCTCCTTTGCACTATCACCTACTTGTGTCACCTCCACCTTTACTTTTTTTAGTGTTAACTCATAGATTTGGTTGCCATTAAATGTTTGGAAGGGGCATTGTATATAATACTTGTTTATTGCCTTTTGTTTATCTAAAATGTTCCCTCAGCCTGTATCAATGCTGTGCTTTCCCTTACAACTTCACAGAACTGGATTATGTGAAACTCTGATATTTAAAACCTTGAAAATATTTAGGTAAAAGCAGTGTGCACACTTTATCTAATTATAAATATTGAGAAGGACCTCCACAGTTCAGGTCAATCTGTCTTTGGGATCAGAATGAGCTTCTTATAAGGAACAAAGTGCCTGCCCTGGGGAATAATTATTAGGAAGATAATTTCAATCTTCTCGTGTGTTTTGAAAGCTCCTGTTACACTTCAGCATTTACCAAACTGATCAGAAAAATAAATCTGAAGAATCTGCCATAACTTTGAACTGAGACATAAATGAAAGCTGTAATTCCTTAAAAAATTAATAGATTGAAAGTTAATTAAGGAAAATGCATATCTGACTCCAATTCAAATTACTTTCTAACTCTTTCTGACAGTTTGGACCTGAGCTTTCACAACTGGCACTTATTTTTCCAGCCAAAACCGGTTGTCCTCAAAGCTTGGGCAAAACATTCTTGGTTTTCCTTCATTTGCTGAGAAAGTCTTTTGTAGAAACCTTGGTTATGGGCATCGTATGTTGCCTGTTCTGCATCCTTTTTGTAGATTTCTGTGCAGAGAACTTTTGGCTGCAGTAGCTTAGCAGAAATCTGTAGTTCATACAACCTGAAGGTAACACAGATCAGTTTGCTGGTTCTTGCTTCTCCAAGGTGCATTAATTTTGATGGTCAGTAGCTTTCCCAAACCAGTTTTACAACTGAAATTGTGCAAGTGTCTGTGCAGATCTGTGCCTGTGCAAGGATCCTGTCTATCTCCATATTTCCCTTTCCAGTAACTGGGCTTTTAATGATTCTTCTCATTTTTCCCAGCTGACACAGGCTGATATGAATCTGATGGACCCTTCACTGCTTCAGTATCCTGACTGGAAAGGACATCTGTTGTAAGTCAGAACACTTCTCTTTTTGACTACTTGTTTAATAAACAGAATGGATGAATACAAACCTTTTCTGCTACATCCTCTAGTTAAAATATTTCTAGGTCACTTAAATAATCTTTTTCTTTGCAAAACTTTACATTAGCTGTCCTATCAGCTCATCCAGTTAAAATCCTTTTATGTGAGAGAAAAGATGCAAATTTTCTAAACCAGAGTTTTAAGAACACTTGGATACATTAACAAATTGGATAACTCCAAACAATTCTTTGAAACATAGTGAACAATTTGGGTTGTTAATCCTTTTCTGTGCCAGATTAAAGCTCATCAGAAATGTATGTGCCATTATAGACATTATCTGCGGCACCTCTGCTGGGTATAAAAATCATGTCTGTTCCAGGGGCCAGAGCTATCCTGTTTTCTAGCTATTTTCACCAGACTGTACTATCCCTGACTTGACTTTCCTAAGATGTGAACCTGGTTTGGAAGCCTCTTGGAGAATATTTCAATCAGTATTTGCTTTTGTGTTTTTCAGTTTACGGGAAGAAGTGGCTCGATTTTTGACCTATTACTGCAAGGCCCCTGCACCTCTCAAAGCAGAGAATGTAGGTGACCCTGTGCTGGTTGGTGTCTGTTCTAATGTGTTGCCATTTGTTGGGAAAAAGTTTCAAATTTTGTTTTTTTAAACAAATGATTTGGTAAGAATGCAAGCTGTTATCATGTAAATGAGATTGATTCTGCATTTCAGTAGCTTTTGATGCACACTTCCGCCAGAACACTTCAGGCCTACTGCATATTTGCCTCATGTTTCACTTCTGTGTGCCAGCTCCTCCTGCTGGTACTCTCAATGGGGCTTTACATTTTGATCTCCCTATTTAGCTCAGGGACCTATCTGCCTGTATCCCTCAGCCTTGACAAAGAGTGCCCACTGTTTCAGTTGAGTTCCATGTCATCAAATTCCTCTGTTACCTCAAGACAGAGATTTGTAATTGAACCAGGAGTTAGTTTTAGCCTGTGAAATTTGTGGCAGTGTTGCTAGAAAGACATCAGGACCTGAATCTCTGCAGGACTTGCTGACTTGTGAGAGATACAACCTGGATAAAGGGGCCTATGGAGATCAGGAGCTCCTGTCTGTGCTGAGTGCTGAAGGCAGCAGGAGCTGGTGCAGCCATTGCTTTTCTGGCTGCAGTAATTCAGCAGAACCCCACACTTCCTGTGAACTGAGGTTAACACTGATCAGATTGCTGATCACTTCCTCTTCAAGGCACCAGATTTGTCCTGATACTTGGAATGAAACTCATGGTACCTGTGAGCATTTGTCCAAGACAGTAGTTTCCACTTTTGCACAAATTTGGCAGGACATCAGAACTGCTGTTACCATGAAGAAATGATGATACATTAACTGTTGAAAAGTATTTTGATTTACTAGCATCTCAGAACTACTCCCCAGCCTTTTCACTACTTTAAGCCTATTCTTTTTCTAAATTGCTTATTAGAATGAAAAATAGCACTAGAACAAAGTGTCTATGAAAGAACAGGATTAAAGTTATTCTGGTAGAAGTGGGATTTCAGCAGGAAAATTCTAATGGAGAATTAGGGAGGAAATTTATTTCAGTGATATTGTCAGGGATACTGCTTTATAGTGTTGACTTTCTATGTATGGATTTATCACTAGCATTTCTCTTTCTTCTGTAGGTGATTGTTTTAAATGGTTGTGGCTCTTTATTTTCTGCATTAGCTACAGTCCTTTGTGATCCAGGGGGTAAGTGGATGGTTGGAACATAGTTTTGTTTTGGTTTGGTTTTTTTCTGCTGGGAAATAATGTTACTTTGTTTAAATACTGTTAGACAGTAGTGAAGTAGTGGAATTGGCATTGGCCTGCTGCAAAGTTCTTGTTTCCTGCAAAGTTGTGCTGTGAAATTCTTTATTTCTGTGGTCTGCAGATGTCATGCACACACACTTGGTGCCTGCCCTGTCTGCCTTCACTGTTTTTGTGGTACACTTTTTTAGCTTGCCAGACTAGACATGGGCTATACTTATAGTGTATATGAGTATGTATATATATATATGAGGCTATATCTGGGCACTTGCAGAAGATTAAAGAATTAATTAATGTAAACATAAAGTGAAGAAAGAGGCAGTAGAATTGCAGTGTTTCCAAGGGACACAGCTGTAAAAATGCTTTCATGTTTAGCTAAAGCACATTAGGAGAGAAGACTGTGACCTGTTGGTAACTAACTTTGTTTTCTTGGTTCCAGAAGCTATACTGATTGCTACTCCCTGTTATGGTGGTATTATCCAGAGTATCTTCCTCTATGGTAATGTCAAGCTGGTGTATGTCTATTTAGACAGTAAGGTAAGATCTGGGAGAAGAGAATAACAACCTCTGCAGTTAAACTGGAAAGCTGAGCTTTGGGAATGTGTGCAAGCAGTTCTCAGAACAAGGGTACACCACAGCCCGTGGACATTTACACAGTTTATTGCTGGGAAAATGGACACATGGTTTACAAGAAAGTCACTTGAGACCATGAATCTGGATTCCGGTTTTGTAGTTTTCTTGTATCTTACTCCCAATAAAAGTCCTTGAAAGGAAAAAAATTACCATTTTGAACCTTGGAGAGAGAAGTTATCCTACGTGTCCTGGGACTGAAGGTGGTCCCAGGGTGCAAGAGCAGATGGAGATCTTGCATTGCTTTAGTTATTCAAGGATAGCAAGAAAATTCTGGTTTTGGCCAGCCTGTGATGGACTTTACTTTGATTTTACTTATTGATTTATTTATTCTCTCTGTATATAGGAGGATAAGAAGATGGTTGCTAGGTCATTATTGTTGGGAATTTATTTTCTTTCAGGGAACGTTTGTCAGTGGATTGGCCCAAGGCAGTCTCTATTGAAACAACTTTGCCTTTTCAATCTTTTCTGTGTCTTTCAGATTACTGGAACAAGTACTCGACCCTTTCAGCTTACAGTGGAAAAACTGGAAAAAGCCTTGCAGGATGCCTGGGCAGAGGTGAGTTTAGCTGAGCTTCACATTACCAGCTAAGTTTACAATATATTGGAGATGTCACATCCCACACGTGGCCTAAAGATCAAAGCATTTTCAAAACCTCGCACCTGGCTTTCTGGTTGTCCTTGTAGACCATCTGAGATGATGGCTTGTGAACTCAGGGGCACTTCTAGGGGGAATGTCTCAGTGTTGTGTCTGTCCAGTTTTGGTCACAGCACAAAAGGATAAACCAGACAATTCACAAAGCACTGGAACCTATTCATATAACCAAAAATAATGTACTTGGGCATGCACTAAAATTTGGGACTACCCAGGATTTCCCCTCAGAAAGGCAGCTGAGTTACCTGAAAACTGTTTGCTCTACACAGCAGGGCAGATGAATACACTAAGAATGCCGAAAATTTTTGCAGGAGAGCGCTCTAGAGAATAAAATGCAAGTGAATATCACTTTTCTGAAGAGTTAGTCTGTAAGTTTGGCATTGTCCTAAATCCCATATATGTTAAGCTGCATCTTTGAGTTACCAGCTCTGACATCTCCAGCCAAGTGTGCTTTAGATGAGTACACTTTGCATTCACCTAACTCAAATTCTCATCTTTCTTGCCACTTTCATGGGCAGTCTTCAGTAATTTATTATTTCCCAATTACTAATGAAACTCAGAAAAAGTACTTCCATACTGAGAAAATGTGAGACCATCTTTGTCATTAATTGGTTGACCAGATGGCAACCAATTACTTGGTAGTGGCAATTCCCTCTTTTCAAAATCATAGATTAATTCTATAATATTTTGCTCATTTCACTTTGCAAATGAATTAATTGATAACAAAAAAAAAATTTCTTATTTGTGGCTGAAAGTTTTCTCATACATATTTAACTTTGAGGTGAAAAGTCATAGTGGAAGCTTCAGGGGAATCCTGTGTCACACTCAAGTGAGGGACTGCTCAAGTAGAGGGACTGAAAATTTATCCCATGGTAGGCACTCTCTTAATACTATGGTATTTGTATTCTGCAGGGTGTCACTGTAAGGGCCTTAATTCTTTTGAATCCCCAAAATCCTCTTGGGGACATCTACTCCTTGTCAGAGCTACGGGATTACCTGGAATTTGCTAAAAGGTATGTCACTTTGGAAAGCTGAGATATCCTGAGTCAGATACAGCTTTCACACTCTGATGGACTACTTGCTGTCCCTGAATTTATCTGTGAATATCTTTTAAGTCTGTTCTTCATACACATTGGTGGACTTAGGAAAGGAGAGGGGAATGCTGGGATCATGGACCCTGCAGTCATCTGGGCTGGCAAGGCAGCTTGTATCGAGGAATGCAAGTTTTATTTTTCAGTGATCTGAGGAAACACTATGGCACTGGGCTTCCCTGGTAGAAAGCTGTGTTCTTTTCCTCCCAGTTTCTCAGTACCTGTAAAGACAAAGAAGTGTATGAATATGGTTTCATCGTGGATCATAATACTGTTTGAGATTCGGATTCTATGAGATGCTGAGTGGATGGAATTAATTTTCACATAGGATCTTTGTCTTGTTACATGGTTACAGTGGGTGACAAGTGGATATACCTCAAATCATTTCAATGTACAAAAAGTAGATCTAAATTGAGAAAAGTTTCTTTAGTTCTGCAAAATTTGGCATCCCCTCTTCTTTGTATAAAGCAAGTATTTGGAGGTCTGAATTTATCTCTATTAAACCAGAAGCAGCCTTCTTTTGTAATTTCCATTTTCTCCTTTTGCAGACATGAATTGCATGTGATAGTAGATGAGATCTACATGCTGTCAGTTTTTGATGAATCAGCCACGTTTCACAGTGTCCTAGGCATGGACAGGTAAAAGCAGCTCCTACTTCCCTGGCCATCTTCCAGTGACAGTTCAACATGATGCCTTGCTGAGAACTTGTGACTGGAAGTTAAGTCATGAGCTAGTAAATTCTGAATCCACCTTACATTGATTTATGCCCTTTTTTCTTTTTCAGTAATTACTGAATGGCAAATGCATGTTGTCAAGTACAATCTAGCAAGTAAAAAATGGTAGCTAGCTTTTCATTGTGGTATACTTCTCAATGTGTGCATCAGTATTTGGTTATGACAGTCCCCAAAACAGAAAACAGATTTTTCTTTTGTTGAAGATGATGCTCTTCTTCCTACCTAAACATCTTTTTCCCATGTTTCTGTTGATGCTTGTAAACACTTTCAATTGGTGTTTACTTCCTTATTTTCTATAGAGTAGTCCCAGATCACAGTAGTATTACAGACTGGATAATGGCTTTTATTAGGTATTGTTTTAATGAGATGAAGAACTTTAAAAATATTTTTTAAAACATGGTGTGTTGTTGAGTTGTTTGGTTTTTTTTTTTTAATTTTTAGTCTTCACCAGTGCTGCTAGCTATCTTTTTGTGCTCAGTTGCAAGGAAAGTAAATATACTTGGTTAAGTGTTAGCTCAGTCTTGCTGGGCTTAGATGTAAAGGAACATCACTTTTGATTCTTGACAAAATACATTGGCAGAAGCCTGATTTCTAGCATTAAATGTATGAACTTCAGGAAATCTGCATGTAAAATGTAGCACTTGTAAGCATCTGTGTCTTTGAAATATTTGAAAACTGTGTCTAAAGCTACTTCCAAGGGGTTCCTAGCTTCTAAAGTTAGGTCACATTTGAATTTTCCCTGCTTGACTGCTGTTTAGTGGTGCACTGTCTGTCATTGTGTAATGCTGCCTCTCTGTTTCTGCAATGCTGCACTGGTGATCCAAAAGCTTCAGCACCTATGACACTAACTGCCCATCTGCATCCTTCTACATACAGATTGCCTGATCCACAGCGGACTCATGTGATGTGGGGCATAACCAAGGTGAGTGCTGGTTGTTATCATGCTCTGCCTTTGTGGCTGCTGTTCCTCATGCTGGAAAGATCAAGTTAGTAGTAATAGGATCCCAGTTGTTCTGTGTAATAAAGTAGTCTCTCTGTGCCTTCTGCAGGATTTTGCTGTTTCTGGGATTCGTTTTGGTACTTTATATACAGAGAACCAAGATGTTGTTAATGCAGTGGCTTCTTTGTGTTATTTCCATGGGGTTTGTGGACCTGTCCAGCACAAGGTTGCACAGCTGCTTAGAGACAGAGGTGAGTCAGTAGCTCCATGTACAATCTTCTGCCATTCTGTGTGTCTTAGTACTTGGAAGATCTCCCCTTCCCTTACGTTCCCTAGTGGTCTCCTCTTTGTACACCTTAATTGACAGTCTTCCATTACCCTGAAGCTGCCCATGCAACACAAGGCTGACAGCTCTGCAGAAAAGCACCGTTTATGCAGAGCTTCTGATCAGCAGAGTTAGAGGAGCAGCTTGGAGGAAGCATGGTAGCTATTTATACAGAAATTGCAAGAGTTACCTAGAACCAGATGAGCAGAAACAAAGAATACAGGCTTGTAGGACAAGGGAAATGGAAATGGGCTTCATACTCTGCCCAGGGTGAAATGCTAACAGTCCATGATGACTAAGAACTATAAATGTAGGGAAACTTCCTCAGGAAGGTCAGGGAGATACACTTCTGCACAGACATGAAACTGCAAAATACTTCTTGGCTGTCCTTTTATTATTTGAGGAAACAGAAAACAAAAGAAGGAGGTAAAGTGTGAAGCAGAAAAAGACTACTGGGCGTTTTCAAAGCTTCAACAGATCTGAATGCTTCCTCAGTTTGTGATTCTTTTCTTTATCTTCTTCTTCTTCTGGTCAGACTGGATCAACCAGGTGTACCTGAGGGCCAACCATGCCCGCCTAAAAGCTGCCCACACATACGTGACAGATGAGCTGAAGACACTCGGGGTTCCTTTTCTCAACCGCAACGCAGGCTTCTTTGTCTGGATGGACTTCAGAAAGGTTGGTACTTTTGGGAAGTACTTTGGGAGGCTTCTTCTGGGGTGAGGGCAGGCATGTAGTGCAACTGCATCTAGAGGGAGTTAATATTGTGACAAGCATTTTGTTTCAACAAATCTGTCGTCTGATGAGGAGAGGGAAGTACTGCCAGGTGTTTCAGTCTGATCTTTTCCTTTTGTCAATCTGTGAACTTCCGTCCTTGCAGGAATCTTACTGCTCTCAAGCCACTTCCCTCCCCATTTCTTCCTTTGTATCACAACTGATGTACTTCAGAGGTAAAAGGTGTCTCCCTTGGCCTTTGCAGACTTTATGGGAATCACAAATTCATGAGGATCTCAGTGATGTAGTCTATATGGTACTAACCTCTGGTCCTTCTGACGACTCTCCTAGTACCTTAAGACAGGCACATTTGAGGAGGAGTTGCTGCTCTGGAAGCGTTTTCTGGATAATAAGGTCCTCCTGTCCTGTGGAAAAGCCTTTGAATGCAGTGAACCTGGATGGTTCCGCATCATCTTTTCTGACAAGACCCACCGGCTGCAGTTAGGTGAGTAATGTTCTTTTCCCTCCCACCACAATTTCTGCAGCACTATTCCCATCTCTTCTCAATCCTAAACTTAGGCTATTATTATCCTCTTGTCTTCTCTGGTTTTTTCTCCCTTACTCCATTATCCTTTCCTGGATCTGATGGATTTGGAGATGCTTGTGGCTTAAATAAATCCACCAGTGTTTGTCCTCCTTGTTCCACTGCAGGCATGCAACGGATACGCAAGGTTTTGGAAGAGCGTGAGCAGGAGTTACTGGCTGAGGAGAAGGAGCAGCCTTGTCAGTCAGATCAGGACGGCAAAGCAGATAGCACAGATGAAGTCATTTTTGTATCCCGCCACCAGGACTCTCTCTGTGCCAGTAGCTCCAGCCTTGGTGACCTCATTGGCCTCCTGCAGCAACAGATGCGTTCATCTGACTGGCTACAGAAAAACACAGCTGAGCAGTTTGCCCAGGAAAAGCCAGAGATCTATGATGTGTTCAGCAAACTGGTGGGGAAGCAATAGGGGTCAGTGTGCCTCCAGGGGCTTTCCTGAACACTAACTGACCCCTAACAACTCAGTAGTGACTTCCAGCAAATAATATATTTTCTGTATAGCAAGAAAATTACTTTGTAGGCCCCCTCCTCTCCCCTCTGTTTAAGATCTCTGATTTGTACTATATACTTGTGTTTCCTTGGATTGGGGTGAGGGTAGGGAAGGGGGGGTGTCTTGTTTGTGTGCTGCTCTCTGTTCTGCAGCATCATTGTATTTTATATTTAATTAATTTCTAATGAATATGCTCTTAACTCTCTTATAAGGTCCTGTGGTATAATTTTTTATTCTTCTTCACACTTTCCAAAAACAGATTCTAGATTAAGTTATGTGAGGTGGGGGCCAGCTGTCTCAAAGAGGTGTTTTTGGGAGATAGAATCTAGTGTCAGCCCTAACTTAGCCCTAGCTAAGGGTAAATAAACATGTGCATAGATTCATCTTCATGACTGAGGCTCTTAGGACCACAGTCATCTAGACTGAGTTCTGTAAATCATTTTGTTTGGAGTTGGTTTCCAGTTTGACCTCAGATCAGACAGTATCCACTACCCTTGACTGGTGAAATGCCTGGTTTTGTTTCTATTCTTCTTTTTTTGTATTCCTATAAATAAAATGCACTAATTGGCCTCTTGGCAAAATGTCCAGAAAAGAGCTACAAATGGAGAGGCAATAGAAAGTAGATGTTGTTTTTGCATTTTTCTATTCCTGGAAGTCCATCCCTTGTGGTTAACAACAACATATATTGGCAAAAGAGTGCAAAGAATGCTTCTGCCTATGCTAGGTGTACCTGCAGGTACAGCTGCTTCTGTCACCTACCACAGGCATCCAAGGATGCACCTTCCACCATTATCACAATATTGAATGCAATTTTTCCTGTGTTTCTCAGTTTGCAGGGTAATTTTTTTTTTTACTAAATGGTATTCTTCTGTCTCCTCCTCTTTCCCATTTTAAGAAACTGTTTTCTGTATGCTGGTGATAGAGTATTTCAACTGGAAGGCCTCTTTCACAGATAAAAAACTATTTAACTTCTGGTACTATAAAATTTAGGTATCCTAAAGGAATTGGAGCTTGTTTTTCTGCATACATATTAATCAAGAGTTGAAGGAAAAATGAATAGAAGTGCATAATTTTCCTCCTCATAGATTTTGGCAGATGGGCATGAGTGACAAAAGCACATCTGCATCATAAACCAAATTACCAAAGCATAGGCAATTAATGCAACCACAGTTTGCTGTGTGGTGATGGCAGAGAACTGCTTGGACAGGGGAAGGAAAGTCTGAGCAGTGGCTGAAGAGAAGATGGTGCTGCTTGTGACTGCCCCCCTCAGCACTGAGACCAGGCTGGTGAGGTGACAGGTAAGATCAGTGTAAGGGACAGTTATAAACAGAGTATTTGCTAACTAGTTTGGCATTTGTCCATGGACAATATTTCCAAGTCCACAAAGAAAGCTATAACAGAAGACAGATGTCGTTAATGGAATGGGAAGTGCGATGTACAGCCAAATCACAAATGGACTTCCTGGTTTTCCCCCCTTATTTATGTACCCCAAGAAGGACATGAGCAACAAAACTTTAGGAATTGAGCTGTTTGAAATCAAGAACAAGGTAAGACATTAGTTAACGTGATATTTTAGGGAATCCCTGTAGCAAATTCAACCCATTAATTACTCATTTTCTTTTGTTCTAGTCATTTTTTCTGTTGGAGTATATGAATATACAAAAGTAACAATTTATATAATATTTTTCACCCATATATATTTACTGCTCAGGAAGCAGGTTTATTGTACTGTTTCTGTGTGGATTCAGCTAGTAAAGCACACCTCTGCAGGAAAGAGGGTATGATGTGCTTTCAGAATCCTCACAGCTATTACAGTATGGCTGACAGTCACATCTGAGCTTGCTGTAACTCAACAGAACACACACATAGAGTATTTTCTATGTTATTTTGAATTTTAACACCTGCCTTAGGATCTGTCCACTGAGGAATGTTAGTTTGGTCACAGAAAATATAAATATAACTGGAAAAGAGGCAAGAAAGAAACATGGTCATGAGACTGCTGTTGGAAAAAAAATGGGGTTTTTTGATTGTGCAAACCCCATAAATTTTGTAAATGGCCTTAACTGGTTTACAAAAAGTGGTAAACATGTAGAAAGTCCTGTGCATATGTATATAGAAACTAAATCAATTCCTATTTGCTCTAAGATTTGCTCTAAGATTACCCCTAGAGGAAAAACACAGGTTCTGCCTGTACAAATTGTTTGTTCTTTCTGCTGCCTTCATGTTAGATGTTTTCTCTACTTGATGTATCTCATAGTTCTCATTAATGGCCTTTTCTTTTTCTTTGTGGCAAACCTCTACTGACAAAAAACATCGCAAAAAGATTAAGGATTCTTCCATGCTGTCCCTGCCCTCACTTTTTTTTTTTTACCTGTTTGTCAAGTGATAGCCAAAGAGAGCAGCACTTCAAATGTAGCCAGTCAGATCTATGTTTTTAAAACTTCTGCATTTCATCTAAAACAAGAAATGCCATCAAAATGAGTATAACACTGTGCCTTCATTGCTTGTATTCATTGTAATCATACAAGGTGATAAAATCCACTTTGTATACAATATTTACATTCCAGTTATCATTCATTTTAGCCCAGAAAGGATGCTAGATGGTTTCAAGGTCCTTGCCATGTTCCAGTCACTCTCTCTGTCCCTCTCCTTCTCTGTCCCCCTCCTTTGCCCCCTTGCCCATTCTGTCTCTCTTCTCCAGGGAAGTATTCAATACTTTTAGGGTAGAGGTGGGAATTTCCTGTCCAGGACTGCTCTCTGTCATATAAACTTCCACAGCATACATTTCAGGTATACACTTGACATTTCATGTTTCTGGGAAGGAAAAAATCTGTAAATCTCGAAATTATTAACCTGTGTTACATTGCAGTTAAGCAGGCAACATAAGTGGAGCCCATTCAAAATAAGTATTTATGAAAAATCATGCATACTTACAGAAAGAATCTGTGAAAGTAAGTTTTCCCTTACAGAAATTTAATAGGTCCTAAGCAAAATACCTGTAAGGGAAAATCTTCACTGATAATTTAAGAGTTTTCCACCTTAACTGAAGAAAGGAAGTTGCTCAAATGTACTGTGTGATAAACTATATTTTTTTTTTAATAAATGTTAATCCTTTAATTGTTGCCTTTCTATCGTGGAACATCCAACAGGTCACACAGTTGGGCTGACTGCTGTGTGTTTCCCCCAGCCCCATAATGACTCAGTTTCTTGAAACCTGCCTTGGGGTCAAACTATCATTTATACTGACAATTTCTCTGCAGTCCTCTTCCAGTTACTTGGTTACAGAATCCCTCTGTTGCTCTCATCCTGCTGGCAGAGTGGTGATTTCATTTCATCAGAGAGATAGTGGCACACAGGGGCTCTATGCTAAAAAACCTCTCATGGAGGAAGCCATGTGAATCGCACCCCTGAAAATTTCTGCATCTGAAGTATCAGGCATAGAAAACTGCTTTTGCTCTTTAATTACTTATGCAGCTATTTTTGTAAGATTGGCTGACCTAACAAGTTGTTTTGGTTATTTCTGACCACATAATGAAGAATAGGGCAAGGTAACCTACAAGGATTATATGCAGAATGATATGTGTTCCATCTGAGAAAATCAGAGTGGCAAGATATACTCATTTTCCATTCCAATTAATGCTTTATTTATTACTGACTTACATAAAACACTGGCAACTGACTGATGACAAGATCCTAGATTATTTGCAGCCAGCAAATGTACTAAAGAGTCTGAGGAGGTTATAAATACTTTTTGTCCTCAGTTTGCCGGGATTGGTTATTTTTAGCAAATAGCCAGTCGACCTTATCAAAATGAAGAATCAAAAATAGTCTGGAAAAACACTGCAAGGAAAGGCTATTTTTAGCTCTCTGTCTATTCCCTGCTGCTATCCAGCAAGGTCTGATGGCACAGCTCATGCACGACTGCTTAGTTATTCTAGGCGAGTGCTTGTTATGACCTGTCCTTTCCCTGGATGCCTCTCTGCAGAAGGCATTCAATTGATTAAAGATTAATGCCTCTGCAGACCGTGACAGCTGAAAGCTTTAGGGAGGGGGGAACACACACTGGCAGATTGTTTCTATCTGCATCTTTCTGCCACATTAATAGTTTCTTTAAGGGAACTCTTTCCTAACTGAATTTCCTTGTGTCTCTTATCCCTCAGTGGGAGCTATTGCAGCACCCCTTCTAAGTATGTTTGCACCTCTTTTTCCTTTCAGTTCAGGAAGGGAGTAAGGAAAGTAAGAGTTAAAACATAAATCACTGTTTTGACCAGTGTCATCCATCACAAACCAGTAGCACTGGAGGTGTATGATGGACTGGATCAAGACAGAAAACCATATAATTGGCTGCTAGATAGTTTATTGATCAGACTAGTTAAAAACTGATATAAATAAGGGTACCATTTGGTTGTAAGACTTTAACCAGAACAGTGAACCAAAGCAAGGACCTGGCTGCTACAATATCTTTCTTTCTCTTATAATAGAAACCCTTTAATTTAGTTCAGTACCCTATGTATTGGCAGTAGCCAATAACAAAATTTTCAGAAGAATGAATTATGAGTTTTTAGTTGTTATGCCATAGGTAGAAAATAAGGTTGAAAAGATGTCCTCAAAGCATTAGATTTCCTCTTCATATTTGCCTTTTAAAATTACCTCCTTGTACTCATTGTAATCATACAAGATGGAGGCAGAATGTGCTGCTTCCATCACTGCACAAGGTGCACCACAATCTCACATGCAGCTTCTTTACACATGGAGACACAGTAGCTAGCAAAAGGTTCTCTTCTGTACACTGATCATCCCAGCAGAAAATGCAGGATGCTGTATGCGACAGCAGGCAAATGTATGGTGACACGGTAAAGCCCTTAAATTCCAAATGATCCCGAAGAACCACATAAGGCAGAACATAAAAGGGCAAAACAAAGAGAAGTGAAATATCTGATTTCTCCTGTTCTTTTATAAAAATTGATAGCTGGTTATCCACATGCTGATGAATATTTTCACAAGCTATAAATGGCAACCTGGAGTCTAAAAATAGATGCTGTGCCGCAGACTTGTCTGGCTTAGCTACATCACTAGAATATAAACAGGCTCCCTGGTGTGGTTTCAGGGAAATCTCTAGCAAGACAGACTACATCCTCCATTTTTCTTGCTACATAGCTGATGCCTCTTGAATGTGTTTAATATAGCTTTTAATAAAATTGCATCGATTTTCAAATTTTCCTACAGGGATAAAAGGATCATCAAGTCTCCCTGAATATTTCAGCCGCAATTGATTCGATGCACTTTCTTCTCCCCGGCGGAGCCGGGATGCGGAGGAGGCGCCCGCGGGCGCTGCGTGGGTTGGCGCAGGCTGGCTCGGTGACCCCCTCCCTCCTCCCGACGCTGCACGTGGCCCAGCCGGTGTCCCTGTCACAGCGCTGGGATCCCCTCTCCTTGGCTCCGGCACATCCAGGCACCGCTCATGCTGCTGATTCCCATCACTGCAGGGATCCAGCGCTCATCCGAGCTGCCCCAACGTGTGAATGGGGCACCTTCCTATTCACAAAACCAGACACAGAACCATCCTCCCGAAGGAGGGCTCCTGCCTCTGGTTTATGAATGGGGCAGCTTGCGGCAATTGGAAACTGATGGGTTACGCCCAGAAACACTAAGTGCCGTAACAAACCCCGGTAACTTGTACTTGAGGGGAAGAAATAAGCCTGTGCCAGAGGAAAAAGCCAGTGCCAGGGCTCAGAAAGGTGCTTTGAGATCTGTGAGCGCTGTCTGTTGTTGGTTTGAATGTCACATTCATAAAAAGAAGAAGGTAGCAGTGAGTCTGAGGAGAATGCTACATCACCTGCAATGCCACGTGTGTGAGGAGAAGTTGAAGGGAGGAGGAGAAAGCACTGCAGTGACAGTGTTCTGCCTTTTTTGTGGGAGCACCGAGCTCTCTGTGCGTGCATGTGGATGGCTTTGCAGAAAGCAGTTTTCCCAAGGGCAGGTGAAGTGAAAGAGAACTAATCTGTTGCTGCCAGTCAAGGCTGTTTAAGGACACTGTACTGTGTGTGTGACAGAGAGATTCAGTTTAGAGGCTTAGAGCAGGGATAGGTGCAAACCCCCATCCTTTCACAAACACACGTTATAGGACAGCACACCATCACATCACCATTGTACATAAGATACAAATCTATAAAAATGGCTACAATAACAGTTGAAAAGGGGAAAAATACAAAAGCTGACACTGACATGAGATACTCACCGTAAGAGTATTTTAAAGCACCAAGGATTACAAGAGAGAAGCAGAGCTGCTCTGCATTTTATCCCAGGGGGCAGAGAGACTGGAAATGCTTCTGGCTCAGGGATCAGGGGGCTGAAGGGGCTGCAGCAGGAGAACTTTTTGAGGCAGGACATAATTGTTGAAAACTTAATGGTTAAACTGTAACAGTTGAAACAGTTACAGTCCTAATAGCTGAAAGTTGTTTACAGGTGAGAGATACAGAGTCAGCCGTGGGTCTGCTGCTGGAGCCCAGAGAGCAGGGAGGAATGAAGGACACGGTGTCATAGGCAGGGACACCAGGCTGCTGCTGCTGGAACGTCTCCATTGCACCACTGCCCTGTGCACGGTTCAGCTGCAGCACTTGGGGATTGCTCAGCTGGGGAAGAGAACGCTCTGGGGGGCCTCAGAGCAGCCTGAAGGGAGCCTACAAGAAAGCTCGAGAGGGCTTGTTGCAAAGGCATGTAGTGACGGGGTAAGGGAGAATGGCTTCAAACCGAGAGAGGCTTTAGATCAGGTATGAGGAAGAAATTCTACACTGTGAGGGTGGTGAGGCACAGGTGGCCCAGAGAAGCTGGGAATGCACCATCCCTGGAAGTGTTCAAGGCCAGGTTGGAGGGGCTTTGAGCAAACTGGTCTGGTGGAAGTGTCCCAGCCTATGGAAGAGAGGTTGGAAATAGATGATCTTTAAGATGGCCTCTTTCAACTAAAACAATTCTATGATCTTACCTACTTGAGTGGGGTTTTTTGTTTGTTTGTTCTTGTTGCTTTCTTTTCTGCCTGTTTTTTTTTTGGGGGAGGAGGCGGTTGTTGTTTTTTTTTTTTTGTTGGTGGTTGGTTGGCTTTTTAAAATTTTTTTGGGTTTTTTTTTCATTTGTTTAGCTTTGTTTTCGTTTTTTGTTTGTTTTGGGTTTTATTTGGCTTACAGACCAGGTCAGCTCCCATTTTTGGGAATGAAACCAATGTCTCTGATTCCCACACAGCTGGAGTTTTGTGCAACAAATTTTCCTTCTCTATCTTCTGTTTGAAGAAGATACTTCCAGTTACTTTTATGAAGGGTTTGGGGAAGGTGTAGATTTGAGATATTTCCTTACTGAAGTAGTGTGATCCGGCAGAAAGTGGCACATGACCCA